ATCACCCAGGATTGCAGCAAACGCACACCCGGATGCCTGCAAAGAGAGCTGGCTCTTTGGGGTACATGGGGCTCGGGGGTTCAGAGCCTCGAGTTTTCCAGTGTTGGGCATAAGGATACACCAGCTTCTCTGCTGAGGTTTGGGAATCCTTAAAACCCCTCGGCTCGGCTCGGGATCAAGATGCAGGGGCCTGAGTAGTTGGAGTAGGGCATTGGGGGGGATAGACTACGATTGATGATATAAATCCTGCAGTACCCGGGGAGTGTCGGAGCTTGGGGTTCAGTCGTTAGGGTGTCGGACAACCACAGCAGCTCGAAGCCCGTGTATCAACCCTTAAACTCCCATGAAATTTCTTTTGGCTCGGGAAGCTTCGGGCTCACCGTAGAGGTAACCTGTGCCCTCCCGCATGCTTGCTTTTCTTGGTCCATTTCTGGGCAGCTTCCTGCCACAGCAACACGGAAGTTGGGCCAAATCCTTCTAAACCGCTCTACAATCCTATGTAAGCGCCCGAAGAAGCCCAACAAAACACGGGAAAATGCCGCTCTCCTGACCATGGGGGTAACCCTAAAACCCTAAACCCCTAAACCCTGGAAGTGCCTGAATCCGTCTCACGTCGGTCAGCTGATCCTGGATGCGTCGGCTGTCCCCGCCATGGAAGGAGTTTCCCCAGGTCACCACCTGGCTCAACGGCTTTTTGGGATCTTTCAGGGTTTAAATAGGGCTTATGCTTCTTGGGGATTCTTTCATGGGGTGTAAGAGGGTCTGTTAGGATTTCGAAAGCCTGCTTAAGGGTTCATCGAGGCGGATCCAGCAGGCGGCTCAGGGTTTAGACGGGGGGCCATTTCGGCTTTCAGAGTGGAAGGGCCCCCTCCAGAGCTTAGGGGGGCCGTTTCTCCTGGCGTCTGGGGGTTTTCTCCGGGTCTCCCGGTTGTCGTGCTGTGGTGCCAGTGGTGCTGGTGGTCGTGTCCGTCGTGGGTATGGTGGCAGTGCACTTTCACTGTTCGGGGGTCTGTTCTAACATTATTTGCAGAACATGTTGACCTTGTTCTCGCGCATCAAATGGTAAGAGAAGACCCCCCAATTTCAAATGCAAGCCCAAGCCACCACCCCATCACTTCGCAAAGCGGCGAAGGCTGTGTGCGATGCCTGTAGCCGGTGCTTCAGGACACTCTTCGGCATTGAGCTTTCACCCGCACTTTGGGTTTCGCTGTTCAGGAGTTGCGAAAACTTTTAGAGAGGAGCATCGACAAGTCATTCGGCTAAAGCCTCAGACCCTGAAGCTCCCCAAATCTCTTGGAAGTCTGGGCCCCACTTCGTAGACTACAAAGAAGATCCGGGATTGGCTGGGCCGAGGGGACGTACGTAGCTTGACAAGGATCCTCGGATAAATTCTACTAGACTCCTCCCTTGAGTGGCAGAAAACGAGGAACGGGAAAGACAGGTAACAAGGCAGGGAAACGCAGAGTTACACATTGCTTATAACCCCCTCTTCTCCTCAACCCTAAACCCTAAACCCTAAACCCTAAACCCTAAACCCTAACCCCCCTTCTCCCAATAAGGAAGTCAGGAATACTGAGAAGCTCCTAGAACTAATCGGAGGACTCAGGATTGCAGGAGTTGAGTTTTCTTCTTCAGGAGTTGAGATCTAAAGGTTCCAGGGTTTAGAGTCAACCCTAAACCCTAAACCCTAAACTTTGGCTCTGGAGAGCATGAGCCTCGATGTGCTTCACGTTCCTCAGCTCTTCCTTCACGCGCCGGCAGTCGCCTCCGCGGTGAGTGTTCCCCCAGGTCACCACCTCGGAATGGTGCAAGTATTCAGAACAGGTGGGATGCCGGTCCGACGATCTAGGATCTCTGTGTTCGGGCCCCCCTTTTCTATGAAATCCCGATTTCAAGTTCCAATGAAGGGTCTAAAGTTCGGGCTTTGGGATTCCCTGACAAGGAGCGTTTTGTCTTCGGGGAAATGGGATGGATGATTTCGCGGTTTTAGTTTGAAACAGGAGCCTGAAGCCTCGTCAGCTCTTGCAAGACTCCATAGTACAGTTTACCCCCGAAGCCCAAACCTTGACTTACATAAAGCCCCAACCCCATCTAAGCGCTGAGCCACGGTTTGCAGCTGGGTTCTGTTGTAGTGAGAGGTATCTGTGGCAACTGGAACTGGCCAATGGGTGGAAATTGGCACCACTTGGTTGTCCACTCCATACACCAAAACAAGCGGATTTGGAATATATGTATATATATATATATGAGTCTTATATGAGCCATTTGCAAGCCTCGGTCAACTGCTGCGGCGATACATGAAAGCCCTGCTCTTCCTCAAAAAAGGGCTGTATAAGGTCCCACAGCCGAGCGCATCATCGTAGGGCCCCAAGTATGCTAGCTCAGAACAAGTTAAACTTTTAATTAATGTAACCAGGAGACTTTATACCCAAGAAACAAAACGATTACTTACCAGGCCCCTAAACCCTGAAACCCTAAGCCCCTAAACCCCTGAACCCCTAAGCCCTTAAGCCCTAAACCCTATGCCCTATGTCATCTGCATGCCAAGTCTCAGAGCCACAGCCGAGGATCGCGGCGAACGCCGCGGTGGAGGCCGCCAGATGATGAACATTCCTGCTTTAGCGGCGTAGGGTTCAGGGTTTAGGGCGTAGGGTTTAGGGTATTCTGCATCGGTGCTCTAGGTAGTTGGGTAGGTATCTACAAGATCTGTACTGTTGCGGTACCTACGTTACATGGGCTTTCAATGATATCCGGACCCTTTAATGGACCAGAAATCCGCGAGCCTCCTTATATCTCCTTATAGTTCTTATAGGCGGTTGAGAGTCCGAGGATCCCCTAAACCCTAAAGGGAATGAAGGCGTCGGGGTTCGTAGGTTTCGGGTCACCTCAGACTGATGAGCTCCGGGCCAGGACTCCACAGTGACAACTAGGGTCAGGGTTGAGGCTTAGGGTTTAGGGCCTGGCGTGGAAATGAAGGTTTTACTGTAGGGTTAGGGGGCAAATTGCAAATTGGAATTGTAAGTACATCCAGGGTACCAAGAGATGTACAAATCTAGAATAAGCTTCCTTACGAAGCAATCCTCCAAGTACACCCTGAACTCCAAAGTTATCGACCCTTGGACCCCTAGACCCTGCACGCTAAACCCCAAACCCTAAATCCTGAACCGTTTAACCCTGAACCCTCAGCCTGCACCCCCCAAAACCCGAAGCTTTCAACAACAAAAAGTGGCAATAAGGGCACCAGGGGAAAGCAATACTGCTAGAACCACAGTATAGACGGATCTCTTATAAGAAGAGCATTACTAAATCCCTGGGGGGATTCTATGTTAGAGCCCGGGGAGGTTCCGCCTCAGCAGGCCCTGTACGCGGCTGCTGTCGCCTCCGGACTCCGGGTCACCCCAGCTGACGACCTGAAAAGGCTCCCCATTGCGTCTTTTCTGGGTTTAGGGGTTCAGGGTTTAGGGTTTAGGGTTTAGGGCCTCTTTTTCTTCTTACTTCGGGTTCATGAGGTGTATAAGGCTGTTCTAGTTTGGGTTCATGAGGTTTAAGGTTGTTTTAGTTTTGGTTCATGAGGTTTAAGGTAGGAAACAGCTGTCCAATCCGGGGCTTCGGGCAAATGGGTTTCGGCTTTATGCCGGGGGATTCTAAGGCGTTTAGGGCGGAGTTGGGGGTTTCTGGCAGGGCCTAGGGCCAGGGTGCTAAATGCCGCGATTTGTTTTTGGGATGCTGTGGCCGCTTGTAGGAATGGTGAAGGCTTTTTCTGAAATCAAGGGTGCTGTACTGTGGACTGTGGGTCCTTTTTAAAATGATTGATCCCACTGCGCTGGAAAAGTGGTCGTCATGTTCGGAAACTCTCGTATGGATCTATACATCCCATATGAGCCTGTGTCGTTCTACTATATAAAATGCTACAAACCTTTAGACCGTGTACCGCAGGGCTAAGGTGCTAAGGATGATCTGGGACTTGCACACGCGTTCGTATCCCTTCAGGGTCACCCTCAACTCAACGACCTCGAAAAAAAAATGTTCTTGCGAAGCTTTGTGATTTGTGGGATCAGGGATTATGCGCGCAAGGACAAAGCTCTCGTCTGATTGCTTCCGCCCCATGTAGTTTGAATTATCAGCGCCGATGGCGAATCCACAACTGACTGCTCGCTTAGGCACCGATCCGTCGTCGAGGATTGCGGCGAATGCGCAGCTAGAAGCGCTCACCTTCCTGGTCGAGAAACCAATCGACGCATGTGTAGTAAGATGTTCATTTTGGGATTCATAAACAGTACACTCCCCTCTCGGCGACGTTGATTTCACACATGGGGCTACAGTTTTTGAAATCACTGAATCAAGAATTCCCGACAAAAGAAAGGGCTTCAAACAGGGGCCTCGATGGTTGCAAGAGGACTTGGGACCCTGAGCCTCAGCAACGATGAAGAGGAGTAGAGACTGCCACAGTCAAGCGACGAGACTTCAAGACCGCCAAACCCTCTTGAGCGAAAACCTGTAACAGCATGCTTGTTTGAGGTATTTGGACTTGGGTGAGGTAAGGTATATATTTGGACCTCGGTGAGTGTGCGAAAGTCCTTTAGTGGGGTGTGCTTTTGGGGATACTTGGAACATGAACCCCGACGTCATCCTCGATAACCCGGCCTCACATTCTGCAACTGGACCTGCACAGAGCTGCTGTCGCCACCGTAGCTGGGGTAGGTTGGATGTCCCCAGGTCCTTGGCGGTTCCGACGCCTGAATCCAAAACCTGGACACCCCACACCGCGAGCGTCAAACAAGAAGCCCCCCNNCCCCCCCCCCCCCCCACCCGCCCGCCTCACCCGGACAAAAAAGATCCCAGAAGCCCAAACCCCAACAAAGCCCTGAACCCTGAACCACCGGCGCGAAAGCCAAGGCTAGAGCCCTCCTTCCCCCGCCCCCCCCTCCCCAAACAAACAAAGAGCTAATAGTATGTTATAGCATAGTTTTTATATATTATAGAATATTCTAGTTTATTTTAGTATATCATATTATATTGCATGCCCGAGCATCAGCACCGAACCATTTGCCCGAAGGAGTGCAAAGGCCCCACGCGAAGGCACCAGCTCCTGTCGCCGTACCTCGGGGCATCGTGGTTTTGTCAGGTTCTATGGGGTGTATCGACTTTGTGAAGGACTTTGCAGGATGTGAATGAACAGTTTTTTTATGAAGGGGTGGGGCCGGGCCCAAGAAGTCTTTGGGGTCTCGGGGTTTGGCTTACTGCAGGGCGTTGGGGTTTTGGTGTACTCGGGCCTGGGTTTAAGGACTTTGAGTTGCGGGTTTAGGCTTGGGATACTGTGCGCTAGCTGGAGTGACATACCCTGCTGTTTGCATCTATGTTGCGCACCAAGGCCTGCAGATTTACAGTTTCTGTGGATGCCACGGAGTTCGGCGACATGGGGCCGAAGAGGTAGACAGGAACAGCATCGAAACTCACGTCAGTGCACATACCGTCTGGTGTAGAGAGAACTGCATTTCTTCTGAACTTGAATACCCCCAAACAAACGATTTCTGGGTGGGCGACTCTGCGACTCTCCACTGATCCCGACTCTTTTGGAGAGTTGAAGCCAAGGGACTAAAGGAGAGACCCTTAAAGGGACCCTTGGGGCTATATAGGGGCTTTATGAGACCATATAAGGGGTATATAAGGGGGTATATAGGGTATGAGGATAAGGGGTCCCTTCTGGAGGGTCCCTCCTATAGTCCCTTAATGAAAGGCTTCGCGCAGCGGCCGGATAGCATGTTAACTGGGACCTGGAAGACGCCACGCAGTGACCCTGAGCCACCTGCTCCGTGAACCATCCGCATCAAGCAAACTAGGACACGCCGAAGCTCGTTAAAGTCTTAAGGCCTTCAGGACGGAAGCTTCTGGGTGTAAGGATTCGGGGCTTCTAGGGTCTATACCGATGCCAACACGAAACCTTTTCAACACAACTCCTACGGAAAAGTAGGGGCCGTGATCCGCGAATGTTAAGGAACCCCTAAACCCTAAACCCTAGGACCTTAGAGACAATCCGAGTCACGATCGCACCCAGAGTGTCGCCATGCTGGAGTCCAGCTTGGGCCTAGACGTTTAGGGTTTAGAGTTTAGGGGTTTAGGGTTTAGGGTGGCAGGAGTTGGCAAGGACATCCAAAGCAATACAAGCCTACGGCAACTCGTTGTCTTCTAAAGATGCTGATATGTAACTGATATGTAGGGTATAACCCTAAGCAAAATCAAAGAGTTCAGGAGTTTTGGGTTTGGGGCGTGGAGGATCTCTTTCTTGTTGAAGCCATCTTCACAAGTCCTCTGACACATCAGGTGACTCTTTAATCTGATGGCGAGTAGATCACTGCTATGACTAATACTATTACAAGTGGCCTCATTGGCTTTATTGCTAATACCATTACCAGTCGCATTGTTCTGACTATGAGGATCATTAAACTTCTTACTATGGGGAAGTATGCTATTGCTACTACTAGACGCTTCCACCCTCGAGTCTGACTGCTCGGCTCTAGAAGCTGGGGAGCAGGCTTCCGGGTGTTTGTTTTATGCACTTGGTGCCCAGTTCCCATGAAAACGACAGCATACCGTTTTTTGCTGAAGACTCACTTTCTGAACTGCACCCAGTATTCTCGAAACTTCATAGAACCCCTATAGAAGCCCTGAAGCCCCGTGGACAACCTGACACTCAGAACCAAGGCTGCGGATGATGGTTCTGCCTATCCTTTCATCAGCGGTTTGAGGTGTGAAATTCCAAGGCGGACCCTCAGATAGCGCTCCCGGAACCTCCAGC